TACCCTGTTGAAGAACGAAGTGAATAATTATTGAGCTCATTGTTTTTATAGATTTGGTCAAAATGAAAACTGGTTACGCTAAAATATTCGTATTCGTGGTTCTCTTATCATAAGCTTTATTTTGACTTATGAACTATCATTATACGACTTACCATTCTTGAGTTATCCCCAGTCCATTAGTTGCTGTTCCCCCTATTCACAGACACATTTAGTCAAATCTTGTACAAATTTTATTTTTTATTTCATGGTACGATGTGGTCTTTCTGTTTGGTATATAAACCCAGTATATTTGAGAATAATGATTGATATTGCAGAGGCTGTTATTGGTGTTCTGAACTTAACTGGCTGGGCTAAGCAGAAAACAGGACTGATAAGTACGGCTATTGTGTATCATTGCTCTGATCGATAATTCACTCCTCTCTAATTGGCGGGGATCATCACGTCACATAATAATCAGAGCACGCACGCAATCGCTCATTCGATATAACAGGTTACTATTTAGACTACTGTTAATTAAAGTAACCATTTTTAAAAGTTGATGAAATAACCTTTGTTATTTGTGTGAAACATTTAGGTAGTATACAACATTTAGTCCCCAAATTGTACTGTAAATAAAAACAGATTTAAATCACAACCAATACTTAACCGAAATTTATTTTATTCATATCCCAAAAATATATTCTTCGTTTTCAAACTCAAAGGCATCAGGAAAAATTAAAATTACAGTTATTTTCAACGGAAGTAAGTTATTTTAGTGGTCCGAGATTCGATTCCAGTTCCATCGTGTTATCTTTATTGCCGAACGATAGTTACAGATTGACACACACATATCGCCAATCCTCATATATTACCCTTGGATTGAATCGTGTTAGTGAATAAAGGAATTAAATAAGTCAAATATGAGAACGAATTTCGAATACGCGTATTTTCTACAGTCGTTGGTCGGAAAACAATGCAAAACAAAATGACGAGCAATGGGAAAGGCGAGTGAGTCAATTCAATGTAACCAAGAATGAATCGATATTTATAGTCAGACAAATATACGTTCCAGACATGTGATGAGTAGATAGGAAATGCACACATACGCTTACCTAGAAACAGTAAAGGTTGATAAGTGAATAGTTAACAAGATCAAAGATGTGACTTGACACGAATGAATAGATTGGCCTGTCCGGAAGCTAGAATATGTTGTGGACTTGCATAGCAACCGACACTACATTATATTATGTATTTAGTGTAAGTGAAATTTCAAAGTAAAATCTTGTACGAGTGACTGACAGTCAATAATTCATACGATTATGAAATTTGTATGAGTATTAATCACATCAGTAATCTCTTTACCGAGTTACTAGATATAATATTTGAAGTTATTTTGTTTTGGCCTTAAAACAACAGGATATAAAAAATTTGCAACTCAACCTGATTAGATTTGATTTTAAGTAAATACTCTTTGTAATTGATTAAGATATTTTGAACCGTTCCCCATTATCTAGCACATCTTTTCAGTAATATTACAAGTCTGGTTTTGCGTATAGTGTCAATTAGAGACATATCTTCATCTCATTTATAGGGAATGAACGTTTAATAACCTATCTAACGTCCAATTTCTAACCGCATTTTCTACTTATTCCTAACTGCTTTTACATCTATTTATATATGTCGATGTTGATTACTCCTACACGTTCCCATCATCTATTAATTTGTTATCAAATGAGTTTGAGCTATCAAAAAAGTAGAACCATTTCTGTCCATAGACTTACGTTAGAAGTTATCGTAGCCTTAAGTTCATCTCTTTTACAGGTTTATTAAAAATAGCATTAAAATATATGTACACACTCATTTTATTCCATTATCTTATTAAAAAAACACTTAAATGATTATCAGTCATTTGGATATGGATGTTATATAAAATTTATATTTTATGTTTATTAAACACCTTATATCAAACTTGGTCATGTAACGAATTTAACTTTTGATGGAGTTTTGTTCTTTGAGCTGAATAGTTTGGTCGTTGAGCTTTTATCGCTGTTCTAAACGACATCATCAGTACAAACTTCGGGTAGAGCTACAAATCTTCTCCATCAACGAATTTAACTGTTATACAAATATGAGTCGAAATAGAATTAATACTTCTAACGGTTGAAATAAGAGTTTGAACAACATAAAAATTGGTCAATAGAACATAATCAAATTAATCTTTAATACGAAGCAATTATAACTTTAATACGGATATGGTTGTTATCAAAAATACATCGAAATCGTTAATCATTTACATTTAATAACATGAGTAAAACTTGTATTTTCTGAGAAATAAAAACAGGAATTAGTCTTTATACTGTTGACGTTTTGTGGAGACTTTTTAATCCTGTGGTTTACAATGTGAGAGTATCTTGGTTTAACAAGTAACAAAATTATGGAATCACTGGACAGCTGTTTTCGTAATACTATGGGGTTTCTCAGCTGTGCACATGAAGGCTACTTTAGGGATGGAAACCATATTTCTTGTATTTTGTGGTAACAGTTCACCATTCAGACTTCTGAGTCAGAACCCAATCTTTAACACTTGTAATATCAGTCAGTTCGTGACAATGTCCAACTATCTTCCAATTTTAATGTTGAGTAACTACCTGAAACTCAAAATCGTAAGGTTTTTTTTTTAAAACTCGAAGAGATACTAACTTAAATGAGATACCAGTGATTAAGTGATGATTAGTATAACACATTCGTGGAGATTGTTGAAATTTTTTAGTTGACATTATGTAGTGACCCAATAGTGGGAGTGGAAGATGATTGTGCAATATTACGTGCTGAGTGACATTAGAAATATAAAATACTTTATACTAATGGTATAAACGTTAAGTTTTACCATGATACCTGAAGATTTCGATATTGAACCCTGGTAAGTTAATGTGTAATCACTCCTGTAGAGACCTTTACTATGATGAGAGGACTGTTCAATGCTTCCTATTATTCAGTGGTTGTCTAAATAAGATCACCTCATGGTGTAAAATGTTTTCATGAATTTTAAAAAGCGTATTCAAACTATGAATAATCAACATAGATAGTAAGGAGACAGTGAAAAACCCAAAAGTCAAAATAATTTTAGTTTCCAGCTTTTTTATTCATAAATCTCATTTGAATTCAAAGTGCCATTTCAGACAAGAAAATAAATAAGATTAGTGAGTATGAAAAGCTTGTTAAGATTGATGATTCTTCGTCTAAAACCGAAATATTGAATGTACTTTGAAAGCCATATCTTTTCATTTAGGAATGTATATACATGTATATAAACAGGCGCCATTTTAAAATTGCCATATTGACATGGAGATAAAAATAAATAAACTAATGATGTAGATTGTAAAAATTGGCAATTAATTTTATAAATTGATTTCAGCACAAACAATCATAAACTGTTAATTGTTTCTCTTCAAAATACAAATCGTGTGACTAATGTCATTCATGTCATCTAATCTGTAATATGTGGAAGAGATAATTTATCCATGATATTCAGTATTAGGGGAGTATTTTGTGGAGAATTTTAGTAATTTTTGTTTATGTATAGTTGAAATCATGGGTTAATTGAAGCTAGACCACCATGGAAAACCTGGAAGTACTGGACAAGCACTGGACTACACAAACTGGTTTACAGCTAATTTACATTTTTCTATCTTGCGTTTAATATAAAACTGAATATTTAATTCATTCTAACGAATATCTGCCCTTATTTCTTTTCTCTGTTGCATAATATGAAGATGAATTAAAGCATGTTTGTATAATATCGTTGGCTGAAGAAAACAAACTATTTCACATTTCCTATCGAACATATAGTCACGTTTCCTTTTATTGCAATTATGTACTTTTATGAAGAGATTTAATCTATCGTTTACAAAACAAAACAAAACTAATATATACAGACTTCATTATTTGTATATCGTCTGTTTACTGAATTTTTATTAAAATAATAACTTATTTCCCAGGTTGTTTTCTATAGAAGATTGTTCATTATGTATGATACGTTGTTATTTATCGAAAAGCATTATAATAAAGCTTGATCCCAATGATGATTGACGTTACCATAGAAATAGAATATAGGTTTAGTATATTCAGTGAATTAAACTAAAATAGTTTGATAAAAGTGATTACATCCAATTGTAACAGTCATTATTTGTAATCAATTTTTAATGCTCTACTTATTTACATCTCGAATGATCATCTCCATTTTACACTTGATTTAGTTATGGGATAACTGAACAGCTAACTTGTCTTAATTAAGTTATACAATAGTGTACATCTGTGAAAAGGATTCTGAAATAAAATATAAGTTAAATACGTTTCATTTTCTAAAGTCGATCCACACATTCTTATGATTTAATCCAGAGCATAAAGAAGTAAACAAGTATACATTTAGACTATATAATATATGTAGGGTCTGGCCCTATGTCGAGCCTACATAGCTTGTTCTAGACTCTGAACAAACCAGTCTATTCATTCTTCTCAAGTCACATTTTTGACCTTGTTAATTACTCACTTATCGACATTGACTGCTTTTAGGTAGGCGTATGTGTGCATTTCCTATCTACTCATCACATGTCTGGAACTTATATTTATCTGACTATAAATATCGATTCCTGCGTGGTTAAATTGAGTTGACTTATTCGCGTCTCATATTGCTCGTCATTTTGTTTTGCTTCGCTATCCGATCAACAATGGTACGAAATATGAGTATTTGAGGTCCATTCTCGTATTTGATTGTTATTTAAGTCGATAATTATATGCGAGGATTGAAGACATGTATGACATGATAACGATAAGCAGCAAATTATCTACTTGGAATCAGATCTAAAGTTACTGAAAGTATAAATACTTTGCATCAAGTAAAAGGTTGCTGTGTTCAAAGCAGTAGTGAGGAAATCATCAACAGGTAAACACAGCATTCTGAAAAGATAAGAATCATTAGAAATCAGCAATATTCATCACGTTTTACAGTTGAAAAAACTTACATTACGTCCACATTGATCATTAAGAGACCTTTCGTAAAAATACGTCTTCCGTTTTTCATCTCCATGGTAGTTTATATGTTCATCTGTCTGGCAGAGAATTGTACTCGTTTGTGTCGGTTCTCTACAAGAGCGTTTGTAGCCGTATGTTTGCCTTCTACGAAACGCTTTTAGTGATAATAAGTATCGACTTGGCAGAGGATACCTAAATTTGTAAATTATGAAGCCAGTATAATGAAATTACGTTGATGCAAAGTGACGTATTTTAATGAAAAATAAGTATATACAAGTTTTCTCCGATGATACCAACTAGAAAAATAAAAGGTGTTTACGTAACAATGAGCATAATTCAACTTTTGTCACTTACTTTACCAGATTTTCGGATTGATAAATGAAAGAGATTTCATGCTCAGTTACTGTTGACCTGTAGGTCTTTTATATGTCTCTCCTAGTCAAAAGAGGATTTTTTCGGCTCAAACCTCTAAAATCTTGTATATAGATAGTATTTGAAAATTAATTTCCGTGCTGTAGTCTACTACAAACATTGAATAATGTACAAATCTCCTTTGTTTGCTTCAATGATTGCATATCTTTTTCATGGCTTTAGTGTAATGGGATATATTGACATCATACAACATCAATAATATAAATGTTGTAAACATATTTCGGAATGGTATTCAACTTGATGATTACGGAAATAGAAATTATTTATCAAAAACTTCATTTTAGTTCATCCTATATTCACTACGTAACGATTTCATATCTTGCAATTTGTCTACGATAATACGTTAACTGATTGTACAAAAATAAAATGTACCATTCTGAATTTATTACATTTGTCAAATATTTCTTATGATGTCATTTGCATAACGCTATACTATTTGACTTAGTTTATTTTAACGTTTGTTACATAACAACATGCTTTTTTTCTTATTATATTCACATACAAAACGTTCTCTTTTGACATGGGTTATTACCCATCCCTATGACCTCAAAAGATTAGACTTTATTTATTTTTGTTAAGTGTAAATAGATAGTAGGCTTCACTTATATGTTCTTATTGATATTTTATAGTTAAATAAATGTATTTTTACCTAGAATTACTATTTTTGTACAACACTAGGTATTTACAACATATTGCTTTGTTGGTAAACCGTTGAAAGGTATTAATTTGATTTATTCTTTATATTCATAAGACGTCCTACAGATGGTACCACTTAAAAATTAATCACATTAAATGTAGTCATCTGATAAGCATCTATTACTTACTTTCGCTTGTTACTCCCAATTGAACATAGGCCGCCGACCAGCATTCTCCAATCAACCCACTCTGTCCTAGGCCTTCCTTTCTAGTTCTATCCAACTGTTCTTCATTCTTCTCATGTTTGTCTCCATTTTTCGGCGTAATGTGTTCATTGGTCTTCCTCTTCTCCTTTGACCTTCAGGATTCCATGTGAGGGCTTGCCTTGTGACGCAGTTGGATGATTTCCTCAATGTGTGTTCTATCCACTTCCAGCACTTCTTGATTTCTTTCTCCGCTGGAATCTGGTTTGTTATCTCCCACACTAGGTTGTTGATGAGAGTATCTGGCCAACGGATCCGAAGTATTTTGCATAGACAACTGTTGATAAGCACCTGAATTTTCTGGATGGTGGACTTCGTTGTTCTGCAGGTTTCCGCCCCATACAGTAGAACTGTTTCGATATTTGTATAGTAAATTCTGATCTTGATGTTGGTTGACAATTTTTTTGAGTTCCAGATGTTCTTCAGTTGTAAATATGCTGCTCTTGCTTTGCCGATGCTCGCCCTCACATCTGCACCTGATCTACCGTGTTTATCTATGGTACTGCCGAGTTATGTAAAGATTTCCACATCCTCCAAAGCTTCTCCGTCAAGTGTAATTCGAATGGTGCATATTGCATTGTATCGGAGAGTCTTGCTTTTGATAAGTATCTATAATTCACTACAATTCTTACATAATGTTTTACTTAAATTACTTTTCTAATGATAGATTACAATACTTATAAAAATATGTAAAATACTGCTGATATGCTAATCTAACAATCTTTTCCAATACATATGTGTCACTATGAAAGAAAAGAACATTGAAAAGGCACATGAATTCAAAATTTCACTTCGACTTTTTTTATCCAAACTTTAACGTTTGTTTAAAATAATAAAAAAGAGACAAGTATTTGAAATACCAAAAAAAATATTTTTTTCTATTTTTAATTCATCACTTATAATTTTTATTATTGTCTATAATTTATAATTACAAGATGATTGAAAAGATTTTAATGAAGAAATCTTAGTTGCTAACGTTCAAAATTAACGGAAAAACTATAAACGTACAATAGATTATAGATCGAAATTATTTTATGTATTCCTAATGTCTACTTTTATAAGACCATTATAATTCGAGTGACGTGAAATCTTTAAAAAAAGTGAAGGGTATACTGTTATGATACTTTGTATAAATTATAAAGTTGTACGTGTAGAACGTGTTTGTTCTCCATTGTTTATTGCATGTATTTAGCCTACATAAACTATGGTACGATTTAAGTTACAATAATATTAGGAATAAATGAGAAAAAAATAGTATTCAGGGATTAAGAATAATTATGTAAGGAATACTATTTTGTTACATTGTTCAGTGAACTAGAATTTGTAGACATTTATCTTTTATAACTTACACCAGGGTCTTTTCTAGAAGTTTCTTGAAATCTCAAATCACGTGTATTCCTATACATAAACAAGGCCTAAAGTACATAATTTACTTTAATATGCTTTCTAGCAGTCAATGTTACATGTCATTATCATAATGGTTCATTGCCAAGCATAAGCAGCTAAGTTACTAAAACAATGTAAATATGTAGTACTATAGATTTCAAAATGAACTATAATCAGTAAATTGTATCATCTAATTTGTTTCAAACTTCCAAGAAGTTACAAAGTTCCGTACGCAATGTTCAGCTATTGAGTTTGAAACTATTAAAAGACAGCACATTGAGCACAAAATTGTTGGTTTCAAAAAATATGGGAAATTGAGAAGCAACTGCTAAATATCTGATGCATTATTTTGAAATTTTAAACGTTTTTAGGCATATATTCATTATTAAGGGAAAAGCAAAATATATAGATATTATTATATATAAGTGATGTCCTGTATTCCTCATACATCTATACATTGAGCATCTTGGTTCCAAATGTAAGTCAATAAGAGCAGTGAATCATGAAATTAAATCGTTAAAAAAAATACAAAGTTCAGCTATGAGATCTCTTTATGAAAAATTTATTGTCAAGCTGTACAATTGTATAAATATAAATATATATATATATATATATATATATATATATATATATGAAAGCTTTTTAAGTAATGGTTCCATGAGGATATATGAACGGTGAATAAATTTTATGTAATCGAGAGGTGATGATACTAGATTACACAATGTACATGGTAATAAAAACAGATAGTGTTTGTGCGAATAAAAAGTATCTACCAGTTTACCTACTCTCGTGGGCCAAGGCATTTAAGCCGTAGCCAGTGCTTGCTTTCAACCCAGATACAAGAACATGTTCTAATGTGGTTCTACAAGGGTGATAGCGAAGCAGTTAGAAGTTCCATTCATGAGTATTTCATCGATTTCAATTACTCTACTGATATACAGGTTCATTTTAAGGTTGTTTACAAGATTCGTTTAAATCTACCTATCCAACTTCTAAAAACAGCAGAACCTCTTGCCATCCATGAGATGAAGTTAGAGCTGTGCGTACAAAAGGAATAAGTATTACCCTTGTCTTTACCATGACCTTTATTATTTTTTCATATCGTCTTCGAAAGTATCCTCTTCTTTGTTTAATTATTTCTAATATCCCAATTATTTTATTCATAATTGTTTCTGACATTATTTCATTTCATTTAACCCCTCTACTACCATGAATTATCATAGCAAAAATATTTTTTATTATTTTAATCCACTCACATGATCCATAGTTAACTTCTTAGTTTTAAAAGGCTTTTTATTTGTACACATACAATATTTTATCGTTGATAATTACATTACTTAATCTAGTATTACAATCTTCCAATTACATCATCTGATTTATTCATTGTTCATATTTTCTCACTGTACGAATATTTAGTAGGTTTTCATGCATACATATACATATACGATTGTACAGCTTGACAATAAATTATTTGAAAAGAGATTCCTTCGCTGAAATTCACGCGTTTGATGTTTAAATGTGAATTCTACGTCCATTCAACAGTTTATCACCTAGTCATGGTGATATAAAAATGTTGTAGCTGTGACTAAACTAGTGAATAATGCAATGTAACAGACCAATACATGAAACACTATGGTCTGGTTACCACGTTCTATATTAAAACACATACCATTATTTGTGATGAATCATTAGTTTCAAACCGTCCTATATTACTAATAACAATTCAACTACTTCTGTTGTTAACTCATCCAGTAGTCCTTCTAGAGTTAATGCCGGTCCCAAACCCACAAGAAGGAGCAGGGTTGAGCGTTGGGTCCTTAACATCATCCCGTAGAAAAATTGCTAAAAAAACGCCAACCAGATTAAACAAATCAAACCATTCAAACTCTGCCCTGGCTGTTGAAAGAAGAATTATGACGCCTCATGATGAGAGCTGAGATCCTTCGGAAGTCACGAGGCCGAAGCCCATTTCAACAATCGGAGCAACAATTTTTATAGGTACGTGGAACGTTCGGACAATGTGGGAGACCGGGAAGACCAGTCAGATGGTAACGGAAATGAGGAGATACAAATTTGCGGCACTTAGAATTAGCGAAACCCATCGGACACAAGCTGGACAGCAAAGGTTAGGTACATAAAAGATGCTTCTGTTCTCTGGTCACGAAGAGGAACGTGCTCTATACACTCAGATAGTTGCTCTAATGCTGTCCAGAGAAACATGAACTGCACTTGTAGGATGAGAATCTCACAGATCCAAAATCACCAAAGCATAATTCAAAACAAAGAAGAAAACCACAATGAATATTATCTAATGCTATGCACCCACCACTGGTAGCAACGACGACGATAATGAGCAGTTCGATGAGAGGCTGAAATCAATCATAGAGAAGTGCATAAGAAAGGACCTCACCATCCTGTTTGGAAGTCTAAACGCTCAAGTCGGAGTGGATGACACAGCATATGAAGATATAGTGGACCGACATAGACTGTGAGAGAGAAATGAAAATGGTGAGAGATTTGAAAATCTATGTACATTCAACAAATCGGTTATAGGTGGTACAATATTTTCACACAAACTCATACACAAAACTACATGGATCTCGCCAGACCACACCGCTGTGAATGAAATAAATCATATTTGCATCAGTAAGAATCTCATAAGGCCAGTGGAAGATATGAGAACAAGGAGAGAAGTTGACACAGCTTGAGGTCACCACTTGACCACCTGGTTGTGTCCAAGATGAAACGGATGTTAAAGAAACACTGGACAACTGGAGGATCAGAGGTAAGAAAGTTCAATTCAGCCTTCCTGTGAGATAATAACAAACTCAACGAACCCTAGATACAAGTCAAGAAAAGAAGAATAACAAGACAGCAATTAACAACAGCCAAACAATAGCATAGAGAATCAAGGCACAAGCTGAATGCACAGAAGCAAACAAGGAAGTGAAGATGAGAATTAAATATGACAAGTAGGAATACATAGAAGAGCGAGAAACGACAGCTGAAAATCTTCAAGAGAAGGAAGTATGAAACAGTTAAATGATACAATGAAGAAGCTGGCAGGGATATATAGTTGAGTGGAACTTGTCACTATACAACGACCTCATTGATTATGAGACGTTTGACAATAAGAACAGGAAGCTTCTTATGGAAACTTCTTCGACACCATGGAGTTCCTCAGAAGATTGTCAACATTGTCCAGAACTCATACGATGAACTACAGTGGAAAGTCGTGCATGGAGGACAGCTGACAGATGCATTTCCAGTAGGGACCGCGGTCAGACAAGGCAGTCTACTCGTCCCCTTCCTCTTTCTTCTGGTGGTCGACTGGATTATGATGACCTTAATATCTGAGGGAAATCAAGGAACACAATGAACAACTCGAAAACAATTAGAAGATTTGGATTACGCAGATGACCTGGCTTTTCTATCCCATATACATCAACAAATGCAGATGAAGTCAACTAACGTAGTAACAACCTCTGCAGCAGTAGGCCTCAACATATACAAAGAAGAAAGAGAAATCTTCAAATACAACACGAAGAATACCAACTCAATCAAACTTGATGGAGAAACTCTGGAA